TAGGGAAAGGGATATCAAATGAGAGATGAATTTGCAATACCATATGGAGTTAAAAATGTGATTTAGGCTTCCATGTACAGAGTTATAACATCACAGAACAGAAACATAACTCATTTTAGGACAGTTGTCCTCAAAATTGTTAGACTCATGGCACCCCTCATGAGACTCAAGGTATCAATCAGGAAATGTGTGGTCTTAAGTTTCACTCATTTCTTGATTGTGGAAAAATAATAGAGCAATTCTTCTGTTTCAAAGAAGTCAGAATGATCACAACAGTTTAAAGTGGTTTTGACACTAAGGATTCCTATTTGAAATCTCTGGGTTTATCTTGTGAATCATGTCTAGGTGTTTGCACATCTAACAATGCTAATACTACATGGCATGCTGAGAATCACTGTTTTAGTGGCCTGATCCAAGTCCAGCTGGATTGTGGATCAAGACCTGTACAGCATATGCATTACATTAAAATATCCAGTTCAGTTCTGGCCCCTTCCACACCAGAGCATTTTTTAGCAGGCAGTGACCTCTATTTTGGGCAGTGATAAAAAAACAAACTTCCAAGTAAAATATAAAGAACTGAAATTACAAAGTAATACAAACAAAAGTAGTGGGTGATCTAAGTGTGTTAGGTTCAATTCTCTTTTCAGGCTATTAGACTCTGGAACAGTTTCCCAAGGGAAATCATGGATATCTTCAACTGGACTGCTCAATGGGAGGCAGCACAGTGCATAAGAAACAACTCTGCACTGGCGAAAGCTGAGGGAGGTGGCAGAGAAAAGAAAAAGTTGTTACCTAATGAGTTGCTGCCATCTCTAACTCCAGGGCTCTATAATTCTTCAGGAGGAATAATTATATTCAATGAAAAGTGCATCCTCTGCAAGGAGGAAGTGCTATTTTGGGGGTTGTCAACCAGGGGCACATGTACCCCTAGGGGTACTTGAGAAGGCCCTGGGGGGGGGGTATGCATGGGTAGGCAGGGATGGATTGCCGCCATGCACCATCCCACACTGCTGTGCAGGCACCACACACCCAGCCGGACATGGAGGGTGGGGGAAACTCGCACATGGCGGCTGCTGTCACGCCGCATTTGGCAGGGCACCTCCCCCACACATCCAGCAGCTGGAGGTACACTGCTCTGCGTCCGGCCACCGGGGCTATACTGATCCGAAAAGGTTGAAAACCCCTATGCTAGAGTCAGTTCCTGTATCCATTATTTCTTCTGCTTTCCCCTCTTCCATGTGTTTTGCCCACCCTCATTCCTGTCCCTCCTACCACTCTTTAACACGCTTGTCTTCTTCCACCTCTTCCTTCAGTAATACCGTATGGCTCAGACTCTCACCCTTCCCTGCAAGAATGTATAGGCCACAGTCCCTGTTTCTGATGGCTCAGGTCACACCTGAGCAGCTGATACTTACCCAGCAGAACCAGAGAATTTGGGTCGAGATTGTATTCTGTCTGGTAAGAGAGGCTGCCTGTGCTGTTGATGCTGGCGAGAAGCTCCCTGTCTAGTATCACCTTCACCCTCTCAGCAGTCATCCCCTTGTGCTGACTCTCAGGCATTTGAAGGGCGAACCAGAAGAAGACCGTCAGGGGCCCCTCCCT